CGTGCCCGAGCCCTGGCGGCTGGAAGACTGGGGAGCTGGGGCCACGGTATGACCAGCCCTCCAGACGGTGGTCCTCTGTCCTCCTTTCTCTCTTCCTCTCACATGCCTGCATGCATGTTCTGTCATGAACAAAGAAAACAATTAATAGCCATCCTAATGGGTGTGAGGTAGTATCTTATTGTAGTTTTGATGTGCAGTTCTCTACTGATTAGTGATGTTGACGATCTTTTCATGTGTATGTTGGCCATTTGGATATTTTGATATTTCTCCTTCTTTTCTTCTTTCTTTCTTTCTGTGTGTTTTTTTGGTTTTTGTTTTGTTTTGTTTTGTTTTTTAAGTTCTTGCCATAGGGCATATGTGCTTGCTGGAGAAAGACAGAGACAGAGAGAATGAAAGTGAGAAATCACCCTCCCCACGGGAGTTGGCCACACCACAATCCCTTCCCGTCCATTTTCTTTGGGCACACATACACACATGCCCAGTGTGATTCTCAGGCCATCAGGTCTGGGACCTGGAATGTAGTCGTCCATGTGGCAGTCCAGCACCCTCACCAGCTTGCCACCTGCTGACCCACACCATTTGGGTGTCTTCTTTGGAGAAACACTTGTTCAAGTCCTTGGTCCATATTTTAATTGGGTTAGTAGGGGTTTTTTTGTTATTGTTGTTGAGTTTTTTACTTTTTTTTTTTTGAGAGGTTTTTGCTATAGGACACATGTGCTTGCCAGACAGAGAGAGACAGAGAGACAGAAAGAGAGAAATCACCCCCCCAGGGGGGATGGCCATGTCGCAATCCCTTCTCCTCCATTGTCCTCTCAGGACCTTGGGCACACACGCACACCCACATGTGCCCAGTGTGAGTTTTAAGCCACCGAGTCCGGGACACGAACCACGGTCAACTACATGGGAATCCAGCAACATAGCCATTACTCTAACTGCTGGTCCCGGAATCTGTATCTTTTGAAATACACATTACGGCTTAAGTGGAAGAGAATGGCGCCTCTCCACACCCCGCAAGTACAACAGAATAGGTTTGAACCCTGACTTTGCCATGAATTCCCTTTGGTGGACAGCCTGTTTCCCGATACGTGAAGTAGAACCACAGCTGAGGATTCAAGGCGTACAGTACAGCAACACGATGGCCCGCACGGAGCACACGTTTGCCACAGCGGGAACAATGAACGAGACCTGGGAGGCAGCTCGTGGCCTGCTGCTCAAGGAAGCCGGGTCCCACACATCAACCATGCAGATGGGGTCCTGGACCCAGCAGCTTGAAAACACACTGGGTGCGTGCGCACATGCCCCACATCCAGAAAGGATGGAGAACTGGAGCGAAGGGGCTGTGGCGTGAGCACCTGCCACAGGGTTTCCGCCCCCCTGCCACGGGGTTTCCTTTCTCCCTCCCTCTCTCTGGCAAGCACAAATGCCCTCTGAGGGAGAAAAAGGTTTAATATTAAAAAAAAAAAATGAGACTCGGGCAAGCTGGTAACATGGTGAGCAAGGTGACTGGGTCCCACATGGCCAAGTGTGAGGTTCAAGTCCCTAGCACAGTAGCTTGAAAAACACACCAGATATATGTGCACACATGCCCCAAACCCCAAAAAGACCATGGAGGAGGAGGGATTGCAGCATCACCACCTCCTCGGGGACGGGTGGGCAGAATGCTCTCTCAGGGTCTCACTGTCTCTCTCTCTCTGGCAAGTACCCATGTCCTATAGCAATATATATATATATATATATTTATATATATGTATATATATTTTTTGAGAGGTTTTTGCTATAGGGCGCATGCGCTCACCAGACAGAGAGAGAAAGCAAGAAATCACTCCCCAGGGGCGATGGTCACCCAGCATGGACACAGACAGGCAAAGGGGTCAGGGTGGCGGGCTGGAAGCTGGCACTCGGGGGCTGGCACTCTTCCTCCCCTGCCCACCCTTAGTTCCGGCTTCTGAGTGTGCTGGCCGTTCAGGCACAACCGCGTCCCGTGGTCCAGTAGGCCCAGAGACTGCACGAGGGCACGCAGGTGACAGGCCGGGAAGATCCCTACAGCCCTGCTGGGCGAGCTCAGACTCGGGCTCCTCGCAGTCCAGAAACCTGGTCTCTGCTGGCAGCACCTGGCCCCTGGTCAGTGGTTCAGACCCCAAATCCAGCACGGAGAAAGAACACAGGCCAGACAGTACGTTAAATGCATTTGCTCTGCAATAAAAAGCAAAACAAACAGGATGTCACGCCCCCAACCCTGCCTCCTCCTCTGCCCAGTGCTACCAATACATAGGTTTCCAACCCCAAATAATGACCAGCTGCTCCTCAGATGCCAGCTCCCATTCTGCTATGACACAGGGGACAGCCTTAGCCCGGAATGTACAAAATGTTACAATGTGGGGGGGGAGGGGCAGCTCCGCGCCGCACGTCCCAGCAGCCTGTGCGCGCCTGGCTGACGGTTAAGTCCCAACTGTCACAAGGCCCGACAGAATGCTGCCACCGTCCTGCCTCACCTGCCTCGCAGGAAGACCGAAGCCGCCAAAAAACCCCACCCCCTGCCACCCCTGCCCTATGGCAGGGTCTGAGAGCTGTTGCCCGGCTGCCCTGCCTTGACGTGGCGTCGCCTAGACTACAGGAACCGCCTCCTGCCGCAGCCCACTAAGACGCTGCCCAGCTCACAGGGCCTCGAGGAAGGGGCTGGACACCGGTAGGAGACCACCTGCCGGACCCGGCCTCTCCTGGACTGGAGGAAGGCCCTCCTGCCCTGCAACCAGTGAAAATGCTGCCCAGCTGTCCTCCCCAAAGTGCCTCCGCTAAGGGACGGGAGTCTCGGTGAAGCTGCCGGGTGGGGTGGGCACTGCTGCCCCAGAGACGCAGCCTTCTCTAATTTTTGAGCCTTTGACATTTTTTTCTGCAAGGAAACTCAGAAATTAAGACAGCCCCGAATGGGTCTGTGTCCCCTTATTAGACAGGGTTCCTATGTTGTCACTTATTGGGAAGGGGTGGCAAGGACGGTGACGGCAGGGATGGGGTGGGCAGGACGAGCTTTCCCTGGTGGTATGAGGCTCAGCCCGCGAGACCGGAGTCTTCATCTCGTCGTTCTCAGTCCAGTAGGAGAAGGGGAGGCGGGGTTGCCGCCCAAGCCAGCACGCTCCTGGGGTTCTGCAGCTCCCGCAGCAGCGCTGTGGGCTTCTCCGCAGCAGTTAGGACATCCCGCCCTGGCTTCTCCTTGTGCAAGCTGAACAGGATCCTCAAGGCTGACTTGGCCAAGGTCTGTGGACACAGAAGGGCAGGCTCAGTGCCAGGAGCCCTCCCAAGCCCACGCCGGCCCAGGGTGCTCCTCGCCTCCAGCTGCTCAGCAGCTCCGAACTCCTGTGATGCGGGCAGCTCTGGGCAGACGCCAGAAACTCGCCCTGACACTCGTTGCTCTTGTTCACAAACTGAACCCTAACACCATATCCTGCAGTTCCAGCCGCTTCACCTGGAGCTAACGGTGTTCACCACACTGGCCCAGCTCCTACCCCAGCTCCGCCCACCTGCAGAGGTGCTCAGCGCCCCGCCCCTACTCCGGACCAGGCCGCGCCTGCAGAGAAGGTGCTCGGCACCCCGAGACTGTCCCGGCCCCACCTGCAGAGAGGGTGCTCAGCGCTCCGCCCCAACCCTGGATCGCCTGCAGAGAGGCTCAGCGCCTCACCCCTACTCCGGACCAGGCCCTGTCTGCAGAGAAGGTGCTCAGCGCCCCGCCCCTACTCCGGACCAGGCCATACCTGCAGAGGTGATCAGCAGCGCCCCGCCCCAAGCCTGGACCGCCCGCAGAGGGGCTCCCCGCCCCGCCCCCACTCCGGACCAAAAACCCCGCGACTGTCCCGGCTCCACCTGCAGAGAGGGTGCTCAGCGCCCCGCCCCAACCCTGGACCGCCCACAAAGGTGCTCAGCGCCCCGCCCCTACTCCGGACCAGGACCTGCCTGCAGAGAGGGTGCTCAGCGCCCCGCCCCAAGCCTGGACCGCCCGCAGAGGGGCTCCACGCCCCGCCCCTACTCCGGACCAGGGCCCACCCTTACCGCAGAGTTCATTTCTCCACCTTCATCATCTTGTCCTGCGCCAGCTGGTTGATGTACTCCTCCTCCTCTGTGACACGCCTTCAGCATTGCACTCTGGTTCTGTAGAGACAATGTACTCTCCTGCCCAGACGGAGGGCGGGAGGGCCCGCGGACAAGTATAATAAGGTCAGGGCGCAGGTGCTTCCCCACTGTGCGGCTCACTAGCCATGGTCGCTGGCGTGCCAGCTCACCAGTGGTGTTCATTTCTCCACAGAACAGGATGCAACGGTGTTCTAGTTCTTTCACTTGCTCCTGCAGGTCCACGTTCTCCTCATACACTGCAGAAAGTGGTTCTGGTGCTACAGGAACAGGGTCAGGTCTCAGCAGTGACCCAGCCCATACCAGGAGAGACTCGCTCACCTGCAGCTTCTCCACGGCCCCCCGAAGGGCCTGGTGGCTCTCTCCACACACACACAGTCGCCCCTGAGTGTCCCGTAGGCCAAGGACTCCTTCTCTGGCTCCTCCTGGGATGGAGCTCCTAGATGAGCCAGTTGCTGGCAGTAGAGCCTGTGTTCCTTCGGCTGCAGGCAACAGGTGCATGTGCTTATGTGGAGGCAAGACTCAGGACACAAGGGCCCAGAGATGCATAGGGGAACCCTCCCCCTTGTGAAACTTTGGTGGGCCTACCTGTTGTGTTCTTCATCCCCTGGAAGGTGCGGGGGTCCAGAGATGCCAGAAGGCAGGGAACCAGGTAGGAGGAGGGTGCTCAGAGGGATCACAGCGGAGAAGCAGGAGAGGATACCGAGAAGGGCAGGGAGGCGGGAGGCTCGCCACAGCCTCTGGACGCTCCAATTCTTTTGGGAGGCCCTGCTTGAACTGAGAAGCCTCCTTGACAAATCCTTCTCCTATGGGGAGAGCCAGAGGGTTCTCGGACAACCCACCAAGGGAGGTAGAGTGGGCCTGGGAAGAAGCTCAGGGCCACCTCTGTGCCCCCCCCTTGCCCTGAACCTGGGGAGAATGACCAGTTGTTCTAAAGGGCATGTCTAACCCCGCTATTCTGTGTTGAAGTCCCTCTCCTCCTCCTCCTCAGGCACTGTCCTGTCCCTCAGGGCGGGCTCACTTACCTTCCCCAGGGGGACCTATGAGGCTCAGCTGGGCCCGAAACTGCTGGTTCTGCTGGGTAACAGCTTCCAGGTGCTCCTAAGGGGTTAGGAAAGAGAGAAGGCACAGTGGTTGCCAGGCCCTCCCACTTGGGCCCAGCACTCAGAGACTCCCTCACCTGGGTCGCGTGTAGCTCCTGGCAGACCGCATCAGCTGCCACCTTGCCCTGAATTTCCTCCTGCTGCAGCCAGTTTATGAGCTGGTTCTGCAGCAGCAGCTGCTTTTGCAGCAGCTCCTTCTCAGAGGCCAGGGCTATTGCTAGTTCTTGGTACCGGCTGAGGTGCATGCAGAGAGGAGGAATTGGAAGAGGGTTAAGGGGAGAGAGAGTGGGCAATCATTAGGGTGGGGAGGTGGGCTGGCAGCTGGCAGGAGGACACCCAGCCCCCACTGTGGAGGTCAGGGCTGAAGGGTCACTGGGTCATGGTCCAGGACCTTACTTCCAAGTCTTTCATGCTAGTAGAAAAGATGAAGCCTTCTCCATTGACACCGGATGAAGACTAGGAGAGACGACAGCCCATGGAGACGCTCTGTCCTGTGTCTAAGCTCTCTGACTTCCTTCCAGCCCCAGCAACTGGCCAATTGTTCTTGTTGGCCTATCCTGGACACCTGCTCCTGTACCCTTTGTGCCTACTTCTCAGGGTTCTTATCTCCCTGTCAATCCTCTCCTCCTAAGCAGCTCTCAGTCTGCGCTTTCCACAGTCAAAGCGCTGTAAGCAACCTCGTGGTCTGACCTCTTCCCTGTGCTGCTTCCAGGGAGATGACTCAAAGATGCCACTCGCTCAACAGAAGCCCGCAGGTCTGCTGGCCCCAGGACCTTCCCTTCTCAGGAGAATCCCTCCCTTGGTTTCTAATAGACCTTGCTCACCCTCTCCCTTTCCCTTCTTGAGGACCCTGATTTCTGGGGTACCTTAGACACAAGACTATTGAACTGCAGAAGAAGTTATCACAGGCTCTCGGTTGATGACAAAGTCCTAAGAATGGAGACACAGAGGTCAGAGGAGTGGGCAGCTTGATGGGAACAAGGGTTATGGGTCAGCCCTGATTCTTGCAGCCAAGCAAAGAACCCCCCAGGAGACGCTCACTCGGTTTTCTCCATGAGATCAGATCGTTGTCAGTATCATAGTTCTGCTGGGAAGACTCACAAGAGTGACCATTCCACGTCTAGTAAGAATTACCCAGAGCTTGGGTGAGTCAAGCTCTTCACAACAGCCTTCGGTCATCTCCCCAGACCTCAAGGAAAGATTGACCTCCCCAACCTTAATTCCAGAAAAGGGACTTGGTGCAAGGAACCAACTACCTGAAGAAAAACAGGGTCCACAGTAGGTCTCCGGGGGAAGGAGGATGGGTGAGTACACAGGGTAGCGGGCAGAGGAGTGAGAGGCACAAGCCTGAGGTGACTCCATGCTAGAAAGGCTAGCCCAGGGCCTGATACCACCGGGTAACACAGATGGTGCAGGGTGCCTGTCACAGAGCAGAACAAGTGGTTAGGGCCATGAGAGAAGGCGCCTCACTGCCACGGACTAGAGGGTGCAGAGAGAGCTGGGAAGTGGAGTTTTATTTGGTTTGTGGGGGCCTTTCACCAAGCAGAAATAGGAAGTGCTATAGGACATGTGGATTTGCCAAAGACAGAGACAGGTCGGGGTGGGGCCACTACCAAGGGGTGATGGCCACATCGCAGCCCCTTCTTCTCCAGTCTCCTCTTAGAAATTTGGTCATACCATTTTCTGTCTCCACTTAATATAGACTGACAGTCTACACTCTATGGTAGAGAGAGAAAAATTGGTCATAAAAGCAGTAAAAATAAGGACACTGGAAACAGTGTGGGAGGAGGTTGAGAGGGGAGGAGTACAGGGAAGGAAATCGGGGGAAAAAATAGGCAAGACATCTGTGGGACGCAGAAATGGGTTATTACCTGTGGATAACATGGTATTCTCAATGTGGTCTGCAGTATAGTTCATGCTGGCTAAATGCCATGTCTGTGGTGTAAATGTCATGCAAGCCAAATGATGTATAGTAATGGAATGTTTTAAAAAATGACAAGAATTAAAGAGCCATGAAAACAAACAAAAATGTGATCACACATGCACATGTACCTTCAGGTCTGAGACTAACCGTGCAGTTGGCCATGTGGGATTCAGCCACCGTAACCTCCACACCACTGGCCCCAAGTCCCCAGTCTTCTGGGACTTAGAGCGACTGATATGCCATCCTGGCCTCCAGTGGCTGACTTGCTAGGGAGGCAGAAAATGTGAGGGTGACCCTTTGTGGCTTAAAAGGGCTGGTGTGTTCCTCCTTGAGCAAATTCCTGCTATTCGGTGTGCTCAGCAAAGGCAGGTGCCTGTGGCTTGGGGGTACAGAAATGTGCAGGTGGCCCCCGACCAATCTTCAGCCCCATCTCTTGGCTTGGAGGGTGGCCCGCTGATGCTCAGCCTCCAGTGACCACTCAGGGTAGCACCTCCCCCGACATGGCATGGATTTTAGCACGCATTGTAGAAATGAGCAGCCCCTGGGTGCCTGCAGCAGGGAGGGCATCTCTGCGTTTCTCTGGAGAATGGGTTTCAGAGGAGAGGGAGAAGGTGGGAAGGAAATACAAATGGACAGAGAGAGCCGAGAAGAAAGGCCTGCGTGGGGAGTGTAGCCCCATGGCTGAGAGCAGAAGCTCTGTTAGAACCCACGGGGAGACCTGTCCCTTCTAGAGCACATGACCTGCAGTGGGTGGCCTCTCCCTTTTCACTTATTCAGAGAATATTTACTGGGCGCCTGCTCTGTGCCAGGCATTGTACAAAGAACTGAGGACTCTGTGAACACACACCTGAAGGTCTCTGTCCTCACGTGGCTTACGCTGTGGTGGGTGGGAGGAGTGGTCAGGTGGCAAGGGAACACAGCAAGCTAATCCTTAAACGTAAGCTCTGTGAGAGAAACAACGGCTAGAACCTTGAGGAATGAACCCAGGGTGGGAGGGGATGAGATAAGGTGGTCAGAGGAGGCCTCTGAAGAGACGCCCCCTCCTGGGGTATGAGGAAAAGTCTTGGAGGACAGCTAAGGATCAGCGTCACAGCAGCTGCAGATGGGCAGGGGCCTGGACGGCCGGCCGAGTGCTGCAGGGTTTCGGCAGGGCAGGCGCGGGAGGCTGTCAGTTTCCTATGCAGCTGCTCGCTGTGATTCAGGGAGTCCTTGGAGGTTAGGTGTTGAATATGGTGTTGGGCACATGGGGGAAGTTCAGGCATGAGCTGTCGGGATGGGTGGTCGGCAGGGCACCTGGGTGGTCCCCGGAGGGCCAGCAGGGAGGTCACTGGGGCTAACAAGGGAAGGTGTGGCCCCAGGGTGTGAGCCTGCTCCCTCCCACTCCCCACTGGACAGGAATCCTCCCCTCCTTCCTTCTTTCCTTCCAGCTGTGATCCAAGGTGTCCCCACCAAAGAGCTGTATCCAGAACTTGGTCTGGACATAAATGGCTGGGCAGAGGCCCGCAGCCCTGTCCGTGGCCCACAGAAACAGGTAGGTGTAGACAGGGGAGGACGAGATAGCCCAGCCAGCACACCCTTAGGGTTTCCTGCAAGAAAATACCAGAAGAACTTTTCTAAAGAGCCCACACTGAGTCGGGGGGCTAAGGGAAAAGGTGGGTTGGGAGGAAGGGGTGTTCCCAGCACTGTCCCAGTGATCCTGTGTGGGGTTATTTGAGCCTTTTCGTCAATAAACAGGGGACAACCTCAGGGTGAATCTGCACCCTGATTCTCTCCTCTGATAGCCGCCTGGTCGCACCTACAGCAGAGCCTCCATGGCTTCTAGTAGGCTTAGTGCCAGGTGCCCGGGCATCACATCTACTCTCAGCATCTGTGGGGAACTGGGGTCACGTGTCCCCATCCTCCACATGAACACACGGAGGATCAGAGGGCAGAGTGACTTGCCCAGGGTCACACAGCCAGTGGATGTCAGGCAGGGACTGGAGCTCAGTCTGACCACAGCAGGTGCCTGCAGCACTGCCCATCTGGGCTGCGGGGAGGCAGGTCAGACCCCCATGACCCGAGCCTGTGCTCTGGTCCTGTTCTGGGCAGCGGAGACCTGTCTGCATCGGCATCTCTCCGCCCTTTTGAGCTCTCTGCAAATGCCCCTGTCACCCTGGCCCCAGACAGCAGGCATTCTAGCTTCTGGGCGTCCTTGCCATGCCTTTGCTTGATGCTTTCACAGCATGTCAACGCATTTTCACAAGCACTTTATGAGAGAGGTTCCTTTACTGTCTGCACGTCGCATATGATAAAATGAGCTCAGAGAAGGGAGGCTACCTGCCCACGTCACACAGTGAGTCAGTGGCACCTTGCGACCAGAGTCCTGATCTGTCTGACCCCAGTTTCCTAACCTGGATACCATACCCGGAGTCTTGGCACTAGACTCTTGCCGTAGAGCACGCCCTCCAAGAATCAGACTTGGCCGTATCTGTGTTGAACAGTGCCCTTGCCCCCATACCTCATGCAGGCTCAGTACAGTCCACACTGAACAATGCAGGTTTCAACCCTGCGAGTCCACTATACACAGATCGGAGTTTTTCAATAAATACTATAAATTTATTTTCCTTATGAGTTTCTTAATATTTTTTCTAGCTTTTCCTTTTTTTTTTTTTTAATTTGCAGAGAGAGGGGGAGAGGGAAAGGAAGAAAGCACCCCACAATTGGGAGTAGTCGTCCTGTCAGGACCTTGGCCTGAGAGTAGATGGCACCCAGCACATTGCTCAAGCCATCAGGCCAACTGCAGTCGGCCATGAAGGGCCCAGTTCTCTTAACTGTGGACTATGGGGCTGGCCCGTCAGCTTCCTTTACAGTAAGAATGCGATATATAATACATATACAAAATATGTTAATCAACTTTGTGTGTTATAAGTCAAGTTTCTGGTCAACAGTCGCTACGTTTGGGGGAGTTACACATGGATTTTTGGCTGAACAGGTTGGTGCTCCTAACCCCTGCATTGTTCGAAGGTCACCTGTATGAGGGGACTTCAGAAAGTCTGGAAAATTAAATTAAAGCATGAGTTTATTAGGCTGACTAGGTGGTGCGGAGGTTAAGGAAGGTGGCTGGATCCCATTTGGTTGACTATGAGGTACACGTCTTGGACCCAGTGGCCCAAACAACATGCCAGGATCAATGTAAAGGCCCAGAACAGATGAATGGATTGAAAAAGTTTGGCATATACAAACTATAGAATACTACTCAGCCAAAAAAAAAAAAAAAATGAGACCCATGTCCTCACTTGATATATACTGAATGTCTATGTGACAAAACTGAAAGGCAGGGAGAGAGATTGTAGGGGCAGAGACAGTGGGAGGGAGGGAGGGAAGCAAGGGGAAAAGAAAGGAAGCAGCAAAATCATTTAACAAACATAAAAATGGAAAACTATCTGGGATGATAAGGTGTGAGGCAACATCTCTGCGTGGATTAATAGACAACGTGTTCACAATGGGAAAACCCACTCTGTGTGTTGTAAAAGATGCACAGTGAATATTAAAGAAATAAGAAAAGGAAGTTAAATAAAATTCTTAATCTCAAAAAAAACAAAAACAAAAACAAAAACAAAGCCAGGTGCATGTGTCCAAAATCTTGAGAGGAAGACAGAGAAGGGATGTGGCATTGTTACCCGCCTGGGAGTGTTTTCTCGCTTTCTCTCTTTCACTCTGTCTCTCTACAGTGAAACCACATGCCCTATCATAATTTTTTAAAAAGTATATATTTAATGTGATGCAAGTTTTTAATCCTTGCATATTTTATTCATAATACACATTTTCCATGAACATTTTTAAGAACCTTAAAATTTGCCCAATTGAATGTGGCCCTGGTTCTGTTCCCTTAGGTCTGGGGCAAGCTGGTGACCCTATTGCACAGGGAACTAGAACTGGGACGAGCTTCTGAAACTCACCCAGCTGTCCCCTCGCCTGAGGCAGGGAGTGCCTTGACCCACTACCCTCCACCTCCTGGGCCACATTGGTTTGCAACAGAAGAGGAGGACAGTTAGTGGCCAGGGCAGGTGTGAGTGGGAGCCTCAGAAGTGACCCCTTCCTTGAGGTCTCCTCTGTCTGGCCCCGTTTTTCTCCACAAAGAAAACTGCTTTGTCATGTCTCTGCCCATGCAATTTTTTTGGAGAGGTTTTTGCTATAGGGCGCGTGCGCTCGCCCGGCAGAGAGAGACAGAGAGACAGAAAGCGAGAAATCACCCCCCAGGGAGGATGGCCACACCACAATCCCTTCTCTTTTCTCCTCTTGGGATCCTGGGCACACATGCACACGTGCCTGGTGTGAGTTTAAGCCAGTGGTTCTGGGACTCGAGCCAGGTTCGACTACATGGGAGTTCAGCCATTACGCTAACTGCTGATCCCAGAGCTGGCTTCTCTTGAGCAGTGTTACCACTGTGCCACTGAGCTGTCCCCACAGCACATCAGAGCAGCACTCGGGACACTGGGGGAACCTCCCCGCTGCCTGTCCAGGAGCCGGCCAGACAAGATCACAGGAGAGAATTCCAGGTGAGGAGATGGCATTTGCAGAGGCCAATTGGCACTTGAATTCTTGGTGTGAGATGAGCCTCTCCCAAACTCAATCATAACCCAACTCTGCATTTCGGGCCAATCTTAACTCCCAGGGGGTACACTTAGAAGGAATCCATAGTCTCCAGTTTTCTCAAGTCAGATGGGTGGAGGTGTACTGGTGGGTACTGACCTCAGGAGGACAGTGTCTGCACACAGATGTGCTCAGCACCCTGGGCAGTAACCCCTGGGAGGGCCCAGTTAGGAAAGCCCCCACCTGCCTGGT